AAAAAAAAAAAAAAAAAAAAGGAAGTCCCTTGTCAGAAGTGACAATTGACATTGACAATCCGTCACAGAGTCATAAGTCATACTAAAGTGAACGCCACTCAAAAGTCAAAGACCATGTGTATTGGATTAACCGCCGCCTATCGGCAACAGATTTAGACACTGCTACGCTTCCAATGGTAGATGGATGTAAACCATAATACAGTAATAATACAGTAAGTGCCTGAAGTTGAATCGATTTACTTCCTGTAGGAGCTGCGTGAATCTGGACGCCATAAGAGAACAGATTCGGGGATGTAACTTCGATAGGCGTGGGTCAAAATCACTGCAATGTGTCACTGCTGCAGTGTTCGAACGGAAATCCTCAGGGCGGAAGGGGCGAGTGGCACTTGCAAAGAGGATTGGAATAGCCAACTGAATCTGGACGTGTTTTACACAGAGAGGCAGAACAGCAGATGTATCGTGAGATTGTGCACCTTTCCGCAAACACGTCCAGATTCAGTCCTTGAATCTAACCAATCCTGTTTGGTAGTGGGACGTTGGGACCATGCCCTAGGAGATCCCGCCAGGAGGATCCGACGATTTCCGTTTAAAAAACGCCCCCCAAAATTTGCGGCTCTGAACGTTAAAAGTTAAAAAATTACCCAAAGCGGTAAATACAGTACGGAAAAACGCCCCAAATTTGCGGCGGGGAACGTGAAAAGAAGTTAATTACTCAAAGGGGTGAATACTAAATACAGGACGGAGACCTGACGCCCACTTCGTTGCGGCTTGCTTTCGTGTACAGCATGTCCTGCTGCGGTTTTTTTTTTTTTTTTTTTTTTTTTTTTTTTTGGGTTTCCTTGCTGGACTTTTTGCCTGCCTTTGGTCGGCCTCCGATGTCGACGAAATACTCCTTACACGGCGCACCATTTTTATTTTTTTCACGGCGCACCGTTAACTTTACCCAAATAGCCAGCGCCCCCCCAAAGAAAACAGCACACATGGCGGAGGAAGGCGAGTTTTTCACCGTGCAAGACCGGAATGCAGGGTGCTTGTTTTTTGTTTTTTTTGTTTTTTTTTTGGGTCCTCTAATGAAACTACCCGGTCAAAATCAGTCTATTGAAAATGTGCGAGTCGTGAATTTAGAGGCTGTGGCCATAAGCAAGTACGCACCCATGCATGAAGACAGCGTGTGTCTGAAGCGAGTAGTTCCGCAGCGGTTTTCTTTTTTTTTTTCTGTATTTTTTTTTTTTTTCGTGCGACCTCACTTTTGTAGTTTTCCACTTTTGTTTAAATTTCTGTGCGACCTCACTTTCCTTTTTTTGTTCACTGTGCGACCTCATTTTGACCCTATGGAAACGACTCGACCATCACTTCCAAGTTGTGTTGCTGTGCAACTGCCGTGCCGGTTTAGTTAAACTAGTGCATCAATAAAAAAAAAAATGCACTTCACGTGTTCCCCTGATGATCGCGTCTCAGGCGAGGGCTTGAAGCGATAGTAGGGACACCGAGACAGCCAGTATATGGCACAGACTTGTGTGTGTTCTTCACGTTACATTAAATTTCCAAGTACCTGATTCTACACGCATTAGCAATTTAGCGCCCATGGGTTTCTGTGTGTGTGTTTCTTATCGTTCTCGTTGTCATTTTCGTGTTTTGAGTGAACAACATCTCTTTTTTTTTCCCAAATGGGTGGGTTCATCTTCTTGTCCTAAAACCATTTCATCATCTCTGTTAACTTTGCCATTTGCGGCATGTACGGACTTGTCTGCGTCTCCCTGCATCCATCATCCATGTGGTTGTCAACTTGTCACGAGTGTGCGGCCTCACTTCGCTTAAATTAGTGGTTGTTGTGCGGTGATGGTGACCGGTTCTGTGTCGCACGCACGGCGGCGACAACTTAACGACGTTTTGTTGCTTTTAGTGGGCGAGCGAAAATCCAATTTCGTTCATCTCGTTGGGAATCTTGGGATTCGAACGCCTGTCTGCGTTTCAAGAGTTCATAGGTGGTACCAATTGAGTTACCACTGCCGATGAACACTTCGACGTTGCTTTGCTGTGTGACCATATGCTAAGCAGTGGGACTCCATTTCGCGCCATTAACAAAAAAAAAAAAGAAATAAAAAAATAAAAATAAAAGAATTGCGGTTTGAATAAGCGCCTGGGGGCAACTATTCGCCAAATGTGCAAAATGAGAATGAATCTTCCGCGAGAACATGGGAACACACACAGCCATAGTTTTTAACTTTTTGTCGTTTGTGCATGTGGTGAGTAGTAGAGCGAGGGCCTAATTTGTTAAAAGGGGACATCCTTTAAAATTTGGAACCATACGGAGAAGATTGATTAGCATGGCCCCTGCGCAAGGATGACAAGCATCAAACAAGAAAAGGGAACTCTCTAAGATGCGACCGTTTGTATTCGGCAAGGGGGGGGGTAGGCTAACTTGAACTGGAGGCCATAATAATAATAATAATAATAATAATAATAATAATAATAATAATAGTTAAAAATAAAAAAACGGGGCGACGACCTTGAGATATCATCATTGAACTGAGGAGCCTCGGGTAGAATAGTTCATTCTGTTCATCTGTATCTCAACGTAATGAATGTACCGACTGAGCTAGGCCCATTGGTTGTTTGACTTGTTTGATGATTTAGTCGGACGTTTTTTGCTCGGGGAGGTGATTCAAAAAGAAAACAAAGAAGTATCTGGCCTCCGGCATCTGGAGAACCTCCTGTTTTGAGCCTCTCTGACAATTTATGGCCCCAATAAACCACCAGTACATGGCCCTTCCGGCAACTCGAGAACCTGTTTTGAGCCTCTCCGGAAATTTAGGAGGGTGAGGGACGTATATAAAATGAATCACCTGCAGGCGGCCTCCTCCGATTCGAAGCCGCCCGGCTCAAGGAACCTGTTTTAACTGGAACTCTTTTCATTCCCCAATGATTATCCACTTTTATTGTGAATAGCGCAAGCCAGAAGCACTATTAGTATATGCTGATATAGTCCTTTTAGATGCCTCTCTCTCTCTCTCTCTCTCTCTCTCTCTCTCTCTCTCTCTCTCTCTCTCTCTCTCTCTCTCTCTCTACAAAGTGGACCAAATCACCATAGTACTTGGAAGTTCTTGCTCGAGCGATTCACAATAAAAGTGGACAATCATTTGGGAATGAAAAGATCTCCAGTCAACACTTCTGACTCTGGATCCTTGGGACTCCGCCACTCCGGATCTCATCAATCAGAGAAGTTCAACACGGACATTCAAGACCAGCTCCTCAAAGAACGGATCAGCCAGAGTGGAACGACACGCGACACGGTTCCTTCAAGTTGCTAGGCTGGGCATTACTTCTTACTTTTCCTCGGGGTCTTCTTTCTTAAAAGACCAGTACATGGCCCAGCTATCGGCCGCGGAAAAGAATAGAGTAGAAACGTTTCTAGTTGGATGAATTTGGGCACTCCTGTAGTGGCCCGTACGTTTCCTAAAATTGCGTAGCGTTAACGCTACGCGACTTTAGGAAGTACTGGTGGTTTAAGCCACCAATACTTGGCCCAGCTATTGGCCGCAGGAAAAAAATAGAGTAGAAACGTTTCTAGTCGGATGAATTTGGGCGCGCCTGTAGTAAGCCGTACGTTTCCTAAAATCGTGGCGTTGGGAGTTTTTTTTATCACAACTCTCAGGCTAGGAAGTACTGGTGGTTTAATCGTATGGTTATGGAAGCCGGAACTTCAAGGGTGCTTGGGAAACTATCACATAATTTTCTCAAACACCAGGGTCACCGTGGCGTTGGGAGTTTTTTTTATCCCAGACTGCAGAACCTTGCCTTGTAAGCCAAATGATGGGCGATAAAGGCCTCGTTATTGGAAGTAAGCGCTGATTGGATCCAACCCCACTATTTTCAAAACTAGCAATTTGAAAGGAATGGAACCTCACTCGTCCCTCGGCCACGTGGACTTGCATTTTTATGTAATCGTCTTGCCGCGGACCCCCAAAGTCGAAATATAGGCAAGTATTCTCTTTACTTGGTCCAAACTCCTCCCCTCAGGAAACTGTCCCCCCACTCACCTCTAATCAGATTTTACTTCTGAATCAATCAATCTTTCAGAACTCCAGTCAATCCCCTACATGGGTAATCAATGCTGGCAGGCCTGCTTGATGTATAATGGGACGCTGGATCCGTTTTCCAGCAGATGCTGCTCCCGGCCAAGTTGGGCCAACAGATTGGAGCAACCAGGAAACCCGCTAGAGGGGGATGCTCTTATCACCTTCTCCAGCAAGGAAACTGGTTCTCCACTAGTAGCTCCGCCAGTGTTGGGAAATTACGATGTTTTGCCAGTTCCCGAAGTTATCGGGGGTGGGACACAGGGTCGGCACTGTCCCATAAATCAGATTTTTATATTGCCCGCGAGTGGAAGGAAAAGGAAAAAATGAAAATACTATCTCTACTGCAATGATGTCGGGCAGGGTAGTCTTGGAGGCCGTGCTCAGAGTCTTCCTCCACAGAATGCACCTCACCGGTAAGGCAGGGTAGTCTTGGAGGTCGAGATGTATAATGGGATGCTGGACCTGTTTTCCGGCAGGTGCTGCTCCGCGCCAATAGATCGGAGCAACCAGGAACCACTCTAGAGGGGGTCCAGGGGGATGCTCTTATCACCTTCTCTAGCCAGGGAACTGGTTCTTTAAAAAAAAAAAAATAATAAATAAAAAAAATTGAGAACCCTCTTTATTGAAGTTTATTCTCAATTCTTCTGGTCTCCACTTTCTGCATATGACTCTGCAGGTAATTTTGGCAAATCTTGGATAGGTTCATGTCGTGTTTGCTCTTTCTGTCTTGGGTGCATCTGGCAGCTCTCTTTGGTTATATACATACATATAATACATATATCTCTGCCTACGGCTCACTGGGAAGTTCTCTATGACGATGTACGTGTGCGTTTAGTTCAATGTGAAAATGTGCCACTGTATTTATGGTGGAAGAAAGAAAGTCTGAATCGGCACCGAGTTATCTTGGTCGAACAGGTAACACGAGCACATGCCAAAGCCGAAAGGTCCGGAAAGGAGAGAGACTTGGCCAGTGCGGGTAGCCAGCCGCTCACCAGCAAGATCGAGACAGAAGAAGAATATATAAAGTTCATAAACAGAACAAAAAAAAAAAAGAGGTTGGTACGTAGTTTGTCGGGAACATGGATAGGATGCCTTATGGCATCACAAATTTAAAATGCAAATAAAGGCCAGGAGCCTCAAACGGAAGTGCAAATAAAGGCGATGGTCTCATGCTGTGTGTTTTCTGCAATTGATCTGTGTGTGCAGACTGAAGATCTGATGCAGTTCCGGCAGTGGGGAAGCAGAACGCCTGGGCATCCAGAGAACTTCGAAACCCTAGGAGTGGAGGTCACCACAGGTACATGTCTTTTCAAGTGCAAAGACGCAGAGCACGAATGGTGCCAGGCCAAATTTGTACCAGGGGCCGCTGGTCTTATGGCGAGTTCCGGACTCTGGACCCTCGTGCTCTTCTCCGTCGTCTGTTGTTGTCAATCCATGTGTGTGTGTGGTATGTTCACTATACACCGCCACACACTGCCACAAAAAGAGCATGACTGTGCCAGACTGTTTTGTCGGACTTTTCACCGACGCATCAGGAGGTTGAACCCTGGCAGTCTGCCCAGGATGCATTTGACTGACGGCTAAGGACTGATCATGTCACCCAGAAGTAGTGACACCCCTGAGAAAAGTGTGTGTGTGTGTATGTGTGTGTGTGTGTGTGTGTGTGTGTGTGTGTGCTTTCCTCATTGTGGGTGTGGAGAGGATTCTCTGCTTTCTGGGCTATGGTTGTGAGGCTCGCTGGATGGCCCCTGAGCTGCAATTGCTATGAAGGCATGTTTGAAATGCGCGAGCCATCTTCGTCTTCTTCCCTTCAAGTTGCTGTTTGTGACTCGTGCGATGACATCTTGGGTCACTGCGAGAAGTTGGTTGATCTGACATAATACCCTTCTCCCGTTCTCTCTCTTGTTCTTTGTGTCTCCCCTTGTTGCGTATGCAGGCCCTCTTGGACAAGGTATTGCGAATGCTGTGGGCCTTGCTTTGGCAGAGGCGCACCTGGCCGCGCGCTTCAACAAGCCTGATGCGAAAATCGTTGACCACTACACGTGAGGACTTAAGCTCGAACCTTCTTTTTCTTTTCCTTGCTTGTTCTCTGAAGAATGTGTCGTTTCTGCAAGCACTCTTTTCCTTTTCCTTGCTTCTTCTCTGAAGAATCTGTTGTTTTTTTCTTCGATCGTGTGTGTGATAGAAAGTTCATTGGACGTTTGCTGCTTTGTTCTTTGGACGTATTGTTCCTTTCTGGGGCTTTCACAACCACAAGTACCCATGGGGCCATGCCCCAATGTGGCTTTTCCCAGGACTTTGTTATTGTCTCTTTGATGACTGTAACAGTTGCATCCTCAGGCTGGTGGGACAGAGGGGATTTGAACCTGTGACTTCTGGCGTCAATTGCGAAAGACTTTGTTTCTTCTTTCAAGTATTGCCTGATCTGACTGATCCGACTTTAGGTTGACGAAAACAAAATTGTTGGGTTTGAGTTTGCTTTTGGTTTGGGTTTGGTTTTGCCCTTTTCCCTGTGTCGATGATTTTCGGGGTGACTCGTCCGGCCAGTTAATGTACGATATCTTAGGTCTTGATTTTTTAAAATATTATTATTATTATTATTATTATTATTATTATTATTATTATTGTTAATGTCGTGTAGCTCGTTAAACCACCTGTACCTTTCCCATATCTCAGCCGCGGGGAAAAGTAGAGTGGAAGTGTTTCGACTCGGCTGTCGGCTCGGTTATCCTCCGAAAGTGGAGGCTGCATCCGGGAGCGACGTTTGGAGGTACTGGTGGTTCAAACTTCAAGGTCCTTACAGGCCTCCATATCCATTCTGAGGAGCAATAAATAGTCCAGTTCCTGAACCCCTGATGAAGAGATCTATACATGATATACCCATCCTTGATGCTTCCCCTGTGTTACGACCTGCGGACCCCTAGCAATAGCACTGGAATTACTTCCGTTGGAACGATTGACTGTCACTCAAGCCTCTACTTTTGGGACAACAACCCTTCTGAATCACCACATGGTTCTTTCAAACACTGTAAAAACAGAAAAGACACTTCCACTGCAAGCCAAAATGCCAGGGCTACTCAGTTATCTTTTGTGAAGATGAATTACATGAAAGTTTCAGTCAGATGCATTCATGCTGGGGGTCCGTCGTATTCATGGGAAGGAGTTTGGAGGGACCTGGTACATGGGCATGGGGTTCGGCTCATGGCCGACGCATTGGCCGTCATAGTAAGCTGTCAACGATGTTGCTGCTGTGGAATCTGCTACTCTGTTTGGTTTTTGAAGAAGAAAAAAAAATTGGATAGTGAGATACACTCATCGATACATCTTCAACCATGCACACCATGCAATTACACAACACACAATGAGCAATGACAGGAAAGAGTAATTCAGTTGCATCAATCGAGGAAAGCGCATCCCCGACCAGTTTCGATCGCCTCCAGGCCATCGTCCTCAGGGGGTTTCTTCCACCTACAATCCCCACATACCAGTCGGTTGGGGATCCGGTTTTGTGGATTGATGGAATTGAAAAACTCTTTTGCTATCATTGCTCATTGTGTGTTATGTCAGTGCATGGTGTGCATGGTTGACGATGTATCGATGAGTGTATCTCACTATCCAATTTTCAAAAACCGTCGTAGTAGGCTATCGTCGACGGTGCTGCTGTGGAATCTGCTACTCCGCTTGGGCCAACCAGTTTGGTACAATCAGTTCACGAGCGATCAGTTCAGGATCAATCAGTGTGCTAAGTCTGTCTGACATCAATGGTGTTGCATTTGGGCTCCATGGGTTGCAGGAGCCCCCCTCTTTGGCAGTTGCGGTGAGCGAGCAGTATTGTGAATCCTGATGGTCGCTAACCCCCTGGTATGTGTGGTATGCAGTTACTGCATTTTGGGGGATGGGTGCAATATGGAGGGAGTGTCGAACGAGGCCATCTCGTTGGCGGGGCACTGGGGCCTCGGCAAGCTGATTGCGTTGTACGACGACAATCACATCAGCATTGACGGGCACACGGACATTTCCTTCACGGAGGATGTGACGAAGCGGTACGAGGCCCTTGGCTGGCATACGATCCATGTGCCGAACGGCAACACCGACTACGACGCAATTCGTAATGCCATTGAGGAGGCGAAGGCGGTGACGGACAAGCCGACGTTGATTAAGGTCACCACAATCATTGGCTATGGGTCTCCCAATAAGGCAGACTCTCATGACGTGCACGGCGCTGCACTTGGTCCCAAGGAGGTCCAGGCTACACGAGATTACCTCGAGTGGCCGTACGAGCCATTTGTCGTCCCCAGCGACGTGAAGGCGTGAGTATCTGAACCATATATATACCCTGTGTAAAAAAAAACCTTGTTCTCTCATTGTTGCACCCATGGTCATAACTTGGTCCATTTGTTGGTCCCACAGGGCATCGGGACTTCACTCGTTTGCGGCTGCACTGCTCGGTATTGGCTTCGTCCGAGTGAAAGTCGAGAGCTTTCATTCTGTGTCGGTCATTGACTGTCCTTTTGTGTGAAATGCGGTATAACTGCAAGCAGAAGGATATGAGGCTGGGCTGAATCTAGATATACTAGAATGATTTGAATACGGATCCTGCGGCATAATTGGGAGCAAAAGGATATAAGGTTGGCTGTATCTAGATATACTAGAATGATTTGATTGCGGATCCTGCCTTTTTCTGTTTTGGATGTGAGTGGTTGCGGTGAGTCTTTTCAGTGATGCCGCCGACGCGTAAATCATTTGCTCAGGATATCAACCCTCTCTTCATTCCAATTTTGTCTTCGGCGTTTGTCACAATCATTAGCATTTCTTGAAAAATTCAATGTTTTTCTTCCTTCTTCCTGACCCAGCGGGTGGCCTTCTATGCTCCCGGTTTCTTAACTCCAGTTTCCAGGTCCTTAGTGGAACATTTTCACAACTTGCTTAATAGTAAGTTTAGTAACTTAATACCCATTTAATTTTTCATCAAGTGTTCTATGTAATATTTTATTTGAAATTTATTTCATAATTGTATTTAATATTTTGTATAATTTTCCACCGCTCTTTTCTGCATACAGATGGTTGTGCGTCAAGCTGTTTTTCATGTAGTATAATACTAATATTTGATTTTCAACTCTGGTGGTTGTTGACTTGTTGGGCAGTCTGTTGACGCTGCTGCCTGCCGAGCAGATGTGAAAAGCTGTGCCTTCAAACTATTTTTTTTTTTTTTGGATTGCGAAAAAATGGGTCAAGCTGTTCAGGGGGCCGGACTCGCCGTACCTTTTTATGTATTGTACTCCTGATGCATCGGTGAAACTCCCACGAAACAGTTTGTCACAGCCTCTTGTTTGTTGTCCTCTTCTCCCTCTCTGCCTACGGTTTATCGGGCAGCTCTGTTTGATGATATATTATATTATATATCCACCCCCCTTTCATCTCTTTCTGTGCTTGGCCGCAAACGGCTGCGTTTCTAATCACCACCCCCATCTCTTCCACGGTCTCGCTTGCGAACAGACTCTCCAGTTTCCATTGTTCCCATTGTTCCACCTGCTTGCCAGGTACAAGTTCAGCTTTTGTTTGCAACACCACTACTCCTCTTGTTGTGTATCATCAACGACATCCGCGACATCGTCACTTGTCTGGGTATCAGCAACCTGTTTCTTTGTCTGCCCCGGTTCTCTTTGTGCCTCCTCCACAGGTTGTTGCGGTTCCTTTGTTTCAAACGGCAATATCCGCTCTTATGTGTCCTGCGGACAGTCCAGCTACCAGTAGGCAGCCACTGCATCATGTTTTATACCTTGCGGCGTTAGATATTCATGACTCATCTGTACAACACGATGTGGTCCCTTCCCAGAGTACACTCCCGACTCCAGGGATAGTCCCTACTTTGGATGCAGCCCTAAACGTTGAGGGATTGGAACATGGACTGCCCAGATTGCAGTTGACCCCACAAGCCGTAAACCACATGGGGGATCTGCAAATGGCTGACCAGCATTGTTCGGATGAACCACAAATTTGTGCTCCGCCACGCGCAGACCACTGGTGACATGGGTGATCTGCAAGTGACTGACCAGCAAACAACCCAACACCATTTGGGCTTGCGACACGTGGGGGATCTACAAATTGTTGGCCAGCATCCAACAAACCAGCCTGAGAACCTCACCAATCTCTTTGGTCTGACGGCAACTAACATATGTCTTCACATTCTCTACCGCCAGTTTTATACACCATCAAACTTCCTTGCAATCGCCCTTCAACTTGATGCTGATCTTCCCCAACTACAGCCAGAGGATTGTAATTATACTAGGGAAGGAGGCTTTACCATTGCTGTCCTCCAAGTAGCAATGAGGGACCGTGAACTTGAACTACGCAATGCTCGAGCAGGTGGGTGGTTTAATCCTCCATCCCACATCTCTGCCTGCATTGTGCACGGGCCTGGCCATTGTACATGCCTCTGACCACTGGGAGTTGTGGGACAACGACACCATGGTCCATGCCATGACCGATGTTACTGACTTCTTACAAAATGATGTTGTTTTCTTGCCACAACAAACCATCCGCAGTCTCTTTTATGTCGAAGATCATTCCTATGGCCCCGTGCTGCAGGTAATGTACCAACACTCTGTGACCTTCTCCTTTACACAGCCACAAACACTGTGACACTTGGTTGTAGCCGCCATCGTCTGTGTCACAATCACTATAATGACATGGTTTCTGCATCCATGTGTGCAGAGGACTGTCCCTCCGTTCCTGACTGCAGGACCCTCCGCATACAGACACTACATGTTTATTTTGCGCCCATGGGCGCTATAGTGAATGCATGGTCTTTTGTGGTGACCGTTCTTCCTTCATTTTGGCATGCAATCGACATGCCATTTGTCGGGGGTGTATGGTGGGCATGCTTAATGCCAGCCGCCGTGGCAATTATTGCACTAAGAATGCTCAGCTAGTTCTTCAACGTGTTCATCCACCTTGTCCTTACAATGTATGTCCTCTTTGTCGTCAAGGACGGACTCATTCTTGAGCCTTTTCTTATCCTCTTTTTATCTTCATCTTCACTCCACACTCCGTACTTTCTCTTACTTTCCCTTTATCGTCTTTGTTTGTCTGCTCTCCATCTCTCCTCCGTGTGTTTATTCCCTCCCGGGCCTCCCCCTTCACTCTGCCTCTTTCTCACAGCATACAAGTGGGCCGTTATGGTACGCGGGGATAGGGGCAAGCTCGAGCTCAACTTCTTCAACGTGGCGAGCCTTGTACGTGAGAGGCACGGTGAAGGGGGAGTTAAAAGAAAAATGAGAAAAATGAATGGTTTCAGTGTGCCCTTCATGTTTGTCTTGTTTTATAATTTTTTGTTTCTGCCATTTGTTTCGCAAAGTGTGCTCTTTTAGTTCATAGTAATGTGACAATATATTGTATGATTGTAGTATATATTTTATTATATATTGTATTATATATTGCATTATATATTGTATTATATATTATAAACTCTTGTGCTTGTTGACTTGTTTGGCAGTCTGTTGACTCTGCAGAGTGCTGATGTCGAAAGCTGTACCTTTTGAACCCTTTTTTTTTTGTTTTTGGATTGCAGAAAAATGGGTGAAGCTGTTCAGAAGGGCGCTCAATGCGAGGCGGAGTGGAATGCGGCCATGCAACAGTACGAGGCTAAGTACCCTGAAGAGGCGAAGGTTTTCAAGCAGCTTATCAATGGGGAGCTCCCTGAAGGATGGGAGAAGGCACTTCCGGTAAGGGTGCGGGAATTAACCKCCAGTTTCATTTTACGTCTTCCGACGTTCTGTTTCCCATTTATGCGTGAGCTCAATGCTGCACATCTTTTCAGCACATTTTATAATTAGAAAAAAAATACACATTTCTTTGTCGTTAGGCATTTCCTACGGTGGTGGTGGTCCCAGAAAGTGGTCGATTGACATCCTCTGATGGTTTTCATGTGGTGTGTGCAGGTGTATGATCCGTCGGTTCCGGCAGATGCCACCCGTAACATTTCTCAAACGTGCTTGAATGCGCTGGCATCCGCGCTGCCTGGCTTCCTTGGTGGGTCGGCTGACTTGACGGGCTCGAACATGACTCTCTTGAAGCAGTTCGGGGACTTCCAGAAGGATACCCCTGCGGAGAGGAACGTGCGGTTCGGTGTCCGCGAGCACGGCATGGGCGCTATTGTGAACGGTATGGCTCTGCACAGCGGGTTGATTCCCTACTGCGCGACTTTCTTTGTCTTCACGGACTACATGCGCGGTGCGATGAGGATTTCTGCTCTCAGCGAGGCTGGAGTGGTGTTTGTCATGACCCACGACTCGATCGGTTTGGGAGAGGACGGCCCAACTCATCAGCCCATTGAGCACCTTGCCAGTTTCCGGGCCATGCCTAACATCTTGATGATGAGGCCCGGTGATGGCGCCGAAACCGCGGGTGCGTACATCGTGGCTATCAAGAACAGGACACGTCCGTCGATTTTGGCGTTGTCGAGACAGAAGATGTCGAACCTTGCCGGGACGTCTGCCGAGAAGGTGGCCTGGGGAGGCTACACCATCAGCGACAATTCTTCCGGCAAGCCCGATGCGATTTTGATGGCGACGGGATCGGAGCTGGAGCTGGCTGAGAAGGCTGCCGAGGAGCTGAGGAAGGAAGGCAAAGCCGTGCGGGTGGTTTCGATGGTGAGCTGGGAGCTGTTTGATGAGCAGCCGGAGGAGTACAGGAACAGTGTTTTACACCCGGAGGTCACTGCTCGCGTCAGCGTTGAGGCTTCGTCCACCTTTGGGTGGCATAAGTATGTTGGTCCCGCGGGGAAGTGCATCGGTGTCGACGGCTTTGGTGCCAGTGCCCCAGGCCCTGTGCTGTACGAGAAATTTGGCTTTACCGTACCGAACGTCGTTGCCACTGTGAAGTCGGTGATGTGAGGCATTTGGGACAGTGTTCTTCGCATTCCCTCTTGTTGTAGAAAAATTGTAATCCTTTCAGTGAGAGAGTTGATATATCTGAAATTCATTGGGACGACAAGGTGTCTGCCTAGCTGGATTTCTCCCTCCTTCAAAATGTATGTTTGTGAAGGCCGTAGCCTTTCCCGTTACTGTTGTCCCGTGTTGGGTAGTGTATCAAAGAGTCTATAGCCAAATATATGTGTACTAGTAGGGTCAGTTCTGAAAGATCATCCTTGGCTTTGAAAGAGGAATGGTTCGCTCCGCACATGCGTGTGCATGTACTGTACACACAAAAATGTATGTGTGTGTGTGTGTGTGTGTGTGTGTGTGAGAGAGAGAGAGAGAGAGAGAGAGAGAGAGAGGAGAGGTGGGAATTGGGGTTGGAAGTAGAAAAGAGGAGTAACTGTTTTGGAAAAAAAAAATGGTATAGAGTTGGTTGTTCTGATTGCTGACTGCTACTCTTTCCGAGAGGTAAACTTGCAAGGGGTTGCCAACTTCACGGGGGTGCCAACTTGAGTTTGTGGTCAATTAGAGTCAGGTGCAAGGAAAATGAGCTGAGGGGTAAACCCTCGCACAGGCGTCTCTGGAAACGTCTGTTCAATTGGATTTGATGAAGTTCAATCTTGATACTTGACTTTGTTTTCGCATGCTAAGTTGCTAACCGGTTGGTCTCAGTCTCTGCGACTCTGTAGCAGGCGCCGGCCGGGCCTGGGATAGTTTGGGAGGAACTCCATTTGTGTGTTTGCGAACACCTGCAGCTGGTGCTTGCATGCAGAACTGTAACCTTCTGACATCTTTTGTATTTTATCCCGGCTTGTGTTGTAAAGGATTTCTCAGCACTGTCAGCAGTTGTGCGCGTTTGCTCCACGATTTGCTCGTATTTCTGCAGCAACGTCACAAGGAGGTATAGTAGAAGATGTTCCTCCCTTGACCCTGGGGCCTGGAGCTCCTTATTTCCGCCCCATTAGGCGCATGAAACTTGTCTAAGAATGAATGCAGAAAATTTGGTTCTCAAGTGAGGACGTCAACAAGTCGGTGTGTTGTTTACTTGTTGTTACTTTGTGCTCCCATTTTCCTTCCGTGTAGTGTAGCAGATCAGAGTGCTGGGGGGAAGGAGAGGGGCTTTGGGGGGTGGG